TCATCTCAGGATTACAAGGTTGTGGCTGCCTGCAAGGTCATGTCCACGAAGGGGTGCCTAGGGGCTCTGCTGTCTTCCGCCCTCACGCCGGGACCCAGGCTGAGAGCGAGACCGCCACCTGCTGATGGCTGCTGGGAGGGGAGCAGAGCCGGTGGGGAAGCAGCCGCTCTCGCAGCTCCCTGCTGGAGGGAATGTAGCAGGTTGGCTCCTATTTTGTGAGCCATAGCTCGTCTACTAGTCCATTTTCTGTTGCTATAACGCAGTCCCTGAAGCTGAGTTCTTGATAAAGAAAAGAGGTTGATTTAGCTGAGTTTTGGAGGCTGGAGGGCCAAACAGCATGGACCTAGCTCTGCTGAGGGCTTCTTGACACATGGCATCCAGGCGGGAGTGAGCGGAACAGGATCGCCAGGTGAGAGAGGAAGCCGGACGGGGGTGGGGGTGGGGCAACCTTTTCTGAGAACCCACCAGAGTCATTCTTTCCAAGGGCACAGCCCCCAGCAACACCCCCCCCCACCGGAGGCTACCCCCTCTTCCTCGCCACACTGGGGACCAAGTTGCCAACACACGAAACTTCGGGGGCCACACTCACCCTACCCAAAGCAAAGCCAGCACATCCCATGGCGGTATCCAATGTCAAGGGTGAGGAGTGTGACAGCCTGATCTACTGCCAAAATGTTCGCTGTTGCTCCCCGTGGGAGGCTTCCAGTCCTCCCCCTACTAGCTCGGGCTTAGCCATGTGGCTTGTTGGGTGGCTGCTCTTTGAGTAGAAATGGGCCCTGGGACACCGTTCCTTCTGCCTGATCCTGGAAATGGTGAACAGATCTGACTCATAATGCTGTAACAAGGAGTAGGTGGTGCAGGTAACGAGCCAGGGCGCAACGGGGTGCACAGTGAGCCTTAACAGCCACAGACTCCAGGGTGAGTGGGCGTCGTGATGGTTAATGAAACGCTGGCCCCTTCCAGATGCCAGCCAGGTGGAGCTCTGCAGCTCTCTCTCGGGCAGAACGTGCTGTTACGTCCCACCCAGGTCAGGAGCAAGTCGGCTGGGTCCCCGCACCATGCTTCTCAAGAAACTGCACTGACATTTGAGATGTATTCAAGACATCCTGTTATCAGCGCTGCAGCCGGTTTCGGGGTTTGGCCGTTCACTCCCAAGCCCCTGTGTCTACTTCCTGGTGTCCCATCAGTCGTGGCCTCCCAAGCACGCCTTCCCCTTCTGAACTCCTTAAACCTCTGAGCCACCCTCCCCGGGGAGGAGGCGCTGACCGAGGTGTCAGTGTGCTTGTTCCTCACCTATCAATAGATCAAACTTTCAATCAATTGATTGAAATAATAATTGATTGAAATAGACATCCATAGATTTCTCTTTCCCTTGCCTTCAAACCTTATCTCCACTGTTCTGAAACAGCACCATCCACAAGGACCAGACTTTCAGTAACAGTAGGAGTGTGGTGGTCACTCAGTGTAAATGAACTGAGTGGGTGGCCAGCACCATTTCACCACAGGCTCAGGGACACACTGGAAACGACACTGGGGATGAAGGGGACCAGACAGTGGCATTCAAGGGCTACACTGGGGGTGAAGGCCACTGGCCAGGCCTCAGGAAAAGGGTGTCAGGCAGAAGGAGAACCATCAGCAAAGGTTTGGAAGAGAGTGGGATGTGGGGAGAGGGTGGAGCGGAGGGTCTTGGGGTTGGGAGAACGGGAGTACTGGCCAGGAGAGGTGGCCACTTTGTGCGCACAGTGTTGATCTGCCCTAGACCCAGCGCTGAGGTTGCCTTCGGAGATCACTTTTCTGAGTCCTGGAAGTCATTGGATTTAGGTGGGGTCCTGCCCTCTCTGATTACCCCAGACCTCTGCACACGCAGCTCGCAGCCCTCTGAGTAACTAGAGCTGTCAGTGCTGTTACTGAGTGCTTTCTCCTGGTGTGTGTGTCAGGCAGGGGAGGACGGATTATGCCCAAGGACAGCCCTCAAATGCTAGTGACAGAAACCAACAGTGCTGCAGCCGAGTCGCTGCCTGAATTATCTTATTTAGTCTTCAAACAATGCCAGCGCCTGGTACCAATGTTATGTCCAGCTTTTTATTTTTGTTTTATTTATTTGAAAGGCAGAGTTACAGAGGAAGGTAGAGACAGAGAGAGGTCTTCCATCTGCTGGTTCACTCCTCAAATGGCTGCAATGGCTAGAACTGAGCTGATCCCACACTTGTGCAGGGGCCCCAGGACTTGGGCCATCTTCTACTGCTTTTCCAGGCCATAGCAGAGAGCTGGATCTGAAGTGGAGCAGCCGGGTCTTGAACTGGCGCCCATGTGGCGTGCCGGCTCTGCAGGCAGGGACTTCAACCCACTGCGCCATAGCGTGAGACCTATTTCTAGTTTAGATGAGAAAAAGGAGGCCCAGGAAAGGTGAAATCATTTGGTCAAGAGTTGGGATTACAAAGAAGAATATAATGATGATGCAATACTCCCTAGTGTTTTCTAGGTGAGAGAATCAAAATCTGAGCAGCAATGACTCATTCAGGCCCCACTGCCTTGCACACTACTCCCCCACCCCCGACTGCCATCCTGACTCCCAGGAAGAACAGAGTCTGTGTTTATGAGTGTGCACGACTTCTCGATCTGGTGCCACCAACATGTCCCTCCCTCACAGGGCCAGCTTTTCTGTCCCTTGCAAGCTTAAAAAAGTGTAAAGACGTGATACATGATGATCAAGTCCATGTTTAAAGAATATTTATGGTGTGTTTAAAAATAGCTGTTCGACTCTTGAGCCCACTTCACATTTATTTTAGGGGGAAGCGAGGAACCAAGTAGACCTCACTTTCCAGTGGCGCAGTGGTCGCCCGGCCCCGCTGTTCCAAGGCTTTCCCTTCCGCATCTGGGGCTCCATGGCTGCACTGTCCACTCCTCAGCTGTTCTGCCATTGCTTTATCTGCTCTGGATCCCAGCAGGCTGGGGAGCCAAACAGGCCTTGAAGTAAATCACAGACTGCCCAGGCATTAGCTACATCAGCCATCTGTTTATTTGCTTGCTCTACAATCAAATATACACAGATATAACTTTCGTAATATATAATTTTACTCAAAAGGCAGAGTGACAGAGAGAGAGAGGTTTTCTACCCACTGATTCACTCCTCCCAGGTGCCTGTATCAGTCAAGGCTGGGCCAGGCCAAAGCCACAGGAGCCAGGAACTGCTTATGGGTCTTCCACATGGGTGTCAGATACCCAAGAACGTGAGCCGTCATCTGCTGCCTCGCAGGGCACCCATTAGCAGGAAGCAGAGGTTGGATTTGAACCCACGCACTCCAATATGGGATGCAGGCAAACCAGGCAGTGTGTTCACAGCCACACCAAAAGCCCACTCGTGTCCTGCAAACGTTGACTGAAGCGACTCCTCTGCTACATCTTAGACCAGGCACGGGGGGACACAGAAATGCAGGGAACTTGTTTATGTCTGGTTTAAGAAAATGTGTGTGTGTGTGTGTGTGTGTGTGTGTGTCTTTAAGTCACCCACTCTGACAGGGAAAATTCCTACAGACAGAAACGCAAATTCAGATGAGAGTGAAGCTCTTACTCTTACCGTCTCTCTTCATCCTCATGCTTGGCCCCTGAAGTCCCGCTGTGCGGATGAAAGACCTGGAGCTCAGAGCAGTCGGCCAGCTTGCCCAGAGTCAGGCAGCTTGTGAGTGGTAACCCAGGCTGGCGTCACCCAGGGAGCTCACCCCTGGGCTGGAGCTGGAGGCAGCTGCAGGGAAGGCGGGGAGAATGGTGGGCGCAGGGTCACGGAGAGAGCGCGCTTTCCTCTTCCTGAGCCGGGACTCCCATCTCTGCTGCTCTGGGCCCAGGGAGACATGGGCCCAGCCGTTCTCCGCCATCTCTGCCGTGCTCCCCACCCCATGCCTCACAGTCTTTCCCTGGAACAGGCACAGGCTCTGGGTCACCGCACAAAAGTGGGGTGTCAGCTTGCAGGAGGTGACAAGTGACATCTCAGTGGTTTCAGCCTGGGGGCCTGCAGGTCACAGCGGGAGGGCTCAGCAGCCTGCATGGGCGGGGGTGGGGGGAGGGGGGGGAGGTTGTGCCTGGGACACAGTGACACTGGCAGGCTTGTGTTCCCATTTGCAGAAACTTCCAGCCTGACACTTCAATCTTCAGCAGAGGGCAAGGCAGCAGAACCGGCTCACGTTGGGGTCTGAGGTCTTGATTCCACTGCCACATCCACTCGTGGGTAGCTGCGTGACCTGGCGATCTCTGGGCGAGCTGGAGGCTGGTGGGAGTGTCCCCAGGCTCCCTCCGCTTGGATGGTTGCTGACACTCATACACAGCAGGAGTCCGCCTCCAGCTTGTGCACCTGTCACATGGCCAGATCTGGGAAGCTATATTCTCCTGCCTTGGGAGGTGCGGGCTGGGCAGGCAAGGGGAGCCAAGATTTGGAGGAAACACCTGGGAGGCACTTCCCCTACTCACTGAGATCCAAGTAGACTGTGCTCTTCCCACAGGTATCGACCTGAAGCCCAGGCTCACCATTGACCCACGAGGTGAGTCCGTGCGGAGTGGGGCTCCCAGCTGCAGCCCCGACTGCCTCTGACTCAGGCTGACCCCACTTGAATCCCGGGGACCTGCGGCTCCAGTGGCTCCAGTGGCTCCTCTAGGGAGCCCAGGTTCTAGTTCAAGCTCTGCCACCGTCCACTGACTTTGGCCAAGTCTCCTCCTCTCTCCTGGTGTCTTGTCCCTGTTGGTAAAGGTGGCTGGTGGACACGGTCATCTCCTAGGGCCTAGCTCTGTTGTCCGGTAGTCTGGAGGGTCTTGGACTTCCCCTTCATTTTTCCTGTGTCTCCGGTGCAGGCTGGGCTGGGGCCAGGTAGGAAAGTTCCCGTGAACTGCATGGAGTTCATGCTGCTCTGTGGCGGGGACATGGGTTCACTGACCTGGGCTCTCCTGGGCCGAGGTAGTAGGGGTGGTGGGGGAGGAAGAGGAGGAGGAGGGGAGCAGGAGGAAGCCAGGTCCTCAGAACAAGCTCTTTCCAGGATGTCGGGACAGTGCCCAGTGGAGGACTCCGTTGGAGAGTCGGGGATGAGCACCCCTCTGGGGAGCCTGCAGGAGAGTCCGGGGCCCCTCCAAAGGCCATGGACAAAGGAGCTGATCACCCTGGGACCAGGGGAGTCTGGGCAGCAGGTGGCGCTGAGGAGGATCCAGGAGCTCCGTGCCGGGGTATGGAGGGGAGGGCGGGAACAAGACCCTGCTTCGTGGTTTTATGCGTCACTTAGGTGAAGTCTTCTCCAGGGCTCCCTTCTGCTGGGGGTCGTGAGCCAGTTCCTCTGTAGCCCTCTGACCCCACGCCCCAGACTCCCGGGATTTTACCCAGTGCCACGCCATCAGGATGGCTGCCAGACCCATCTTGTCCCCAGCTTTGGTCTATAAACTCGTTTATCTTCTTGCTCTTTGGGTTCAGATCCCACTTTCCACGCCCTTGCTGTGTGACCTTGAGCGAGTGACTTCACGTTTCTGAGCCTTCGTTCCCCATCTATAACACGGGGATAATGAGAGCAGTCACCTCCCAGCGCCGTGAGGTTAGATGAGCCAGCTCACCACCGGCTTTCCCGCCCACAGGACAGCCGGGACCCTTTCATGGTGGCTGACCTGGACGTGCTGGCCCGCCGCCACCAGACCTTCTGCCAGGCCCTGCCGGGAGTCTTGACCTTCTATTCCGTGAAGTGCAACAACAGCCCCTGGGTGCTGCGTGTCCTGGCTGCCCTGGGCACTGGCTTCGACTGCGCCAGCCAGGTGAGCCTGTGCTTGCTGAGGGTCAGCTGGGACCTTCCAGGAAGAGGTTGATCTCATCAAGCTACAGCGTTGTTAATAAGCAAGTGCGCCCTGTCCCGCAGTGCTGTGCACGAAGCACCCTGTAGGGGCCTTGCTTCCACCTTTCTCCTGGACCCTCCCAACAGCTCTGCAGGGTGGGAGGAGCGAGGGCCCCAGTTCCTGGAAGAGGAGGCAGCCTGAAGGGACTCACCTGCCCTGGGGCTCGAGTAGAGTAAGGAAGAGAGATGCCTGCGCTGTTTGCTTACACTGGGAGGGAGCCATCCCTGAGGCCTTAAGAGAGGGAATTTGGGGGCGGGAGTTTGAGGCAATGGTTGAGACAGCTGTTGGGACATCCACATCCTGTATCTGAGCGCCTGGGTCTGAGTCCCGGCTTCACTCCCGATTCCAGCTTCCTGCTGGTGTGCACCCTGGGAGGCAGCATGGAGGGGCTCAAGTACTGGGTCCCTGCCCGCCACGTGGGGATCTGGATGGAGCGCTGGGCTCCCTGACTCTCAGGATAGTTCCCAGCTATTGTGAACCAGCCGATGGGAGATCTCTGTCTCTGCTATTAAAATAAAGAAGTAAATAAATAAGACTAGAGGGCAGCTGGGGTGGAGCAGGAGCCCGGCGGTGGGAATGGGGAGTAGCTCTCCAGCTGGGAACAATTAGCAAACCTCACTGCTTCCGTGCTGAAGACCCCCTCCCCACAACTCAGGAGGGATCGATTAACAAGTTGCTTCCAGACAGCCACCCGGATTTCCTCCTGGGTGGAAATGTAAGGCATTGGTTCTGAGCCGCAACTGCCTTTAACACCAGGAATGCCTGACACATCACAGGCCTCAGCAGTGAGCACCCCACCGGCCCCGCCCTGGGCTCCTACCCAAAAGTGGGAGAGTGGTGGGGACGTGAGTGAGTGACAAGCCTGCTGTCAACTCCGCCAGGTGGAGATGGAGCAGGTGCTGGGCCTGGGTGTGGCCCCCTCGCGCATCATCTATGCCAACCCCTGCAAGTCCATCTCCCACATCCAGTACGCTGCCCGCCATGGGGTGCGGCTCCTGACCTTCGACAGCGAGGAGGAGCTGATCAAAGTGGCCCAGCACCACCCTGGGGCCAGGTAGGCTGCAGGCAGGCTGGGTGAAGGGGAGCCATCACAAACGACCTACCCTGCACACCACGTATCTGCCAAAAGCTGGCCTGGCCCTGTTTAAGGTGTCCTGGCAGCTGGTGGGATCTGGAAACAGTCCTGCATTGGGAGTGGCACGGCGCGAGTTCAAATCCTGGTGTGGTCCCTCACCTGGTGTAAATGAGTAAGGGCAGTTCTCTTCACTTTCTAACGCTCGGCCCCTTCCTCTACAACACGTGGGAATGCAGCTGGGCTCGCGGTGTCGGTGTCTGCTTCCACCATGCCCCTATCCGTGTGTATTCTAGGAAAGGCAGCTGTGTCCGCAAGTGCACCCTTGGGCTGGGCTGGTGGCCACACGGTGGCATTGTAAATCCTACCAGATCTGGGGTCTGCTGGGCCTGGAAGGGGCACTGTCTGTAGGTCTCTCTCCCAGCCTTCCTTGTCCACTGTGCCTCTCCTCCAGGCTGGTCCTCCGGCTGTGGACCCAAGACAGCCAGAGCATCTTCCCCCTGAGTGCCAAGTTTGGGGCCAGTTTGGAGGCATGTGGGCATCTGCTCACGTCTGCCAGAGACCTGGGCTTGGCTGTGGTTGGAGTCAGGTGAGTGAGGCCAAGACTCCAGAGCTAGGGGTAGCAGGGGACCTGGGTTCTAGTCCTGTCTTTGCTGAACCTGGGGCAAGCTGCAGCCCCCTGGGGATCTGGGGGATCCCATCTGTCAGAAGGAGCAAGGACGAGACAAGATGGTTCCTTCAGCCCTCCCTGCTCTGGGAGGGGCTTGGTGTGAAATGTCCACGAGGGGCCAGGGGAGCCCACGCAGCAGTGCTGGGGTCTGGGGCTGCTGGTTGCAGTGTGCACATGAGGGACTGAACACATGGGTCAGAGGGAGCACCCTTCGTTGATACACTGTTTCATGGCTCAGCCTGGGTGTGCAGGAGACCTTGAGTATACAGAGTAGGTAGGTATGTTTCCAGTTGTTTGTTTCTTTCCTTATTTGAAAGAGAAAGAGACAAAGAGAGACCTTCTATCAGCTGGTCTCACTCCCCAAATGCTTACAACAGTCAGGGCTTGGCCAGGCTGAAACCAGGAATCTGGATCTGCCTGAGTCTCCCACACAGCTGGCAGGGACTCAAGTGCTCGGGCTGTCACCTGCTGCCTCCTGGTGCACGTGTTCGCAGGAAAACGCAGATCCGGGACCGGAACCCAGGCGCTCCGATGTGGGCTGCGGCTGTCCCAGGCTGTGGCTTGGCTGCTGCACCCAGTGCACACCCCAGTTGTTTGTTACCACATCTGGCATGGTGGCTGCATGCCCTGTGTGTGTCTGGGCCCCTTGCTTCCTCTCTCCTGGTTATCCTCAGCTTGTGTGGCTCTGTGGTTCTAACTATGTCTTCCACTCTCTCCCATGTCACATGATTGGTGCACTCAGCTTCCATGTGGGCTCCAGCTGCCAGACACCCACGAGCTATGCACAGGCCATCACTCACTGCCAGCAAGTGTTCGAGATGGGTCGCGGGGCCGGGCATGACATGAGCCTCCTGGATCTTGGAGGCGGCTTTCCTGGAGCGGAGGGCTCCCAGCCCTTGTTTGAGGAGGTAAACTAGTGAGGGCCCTGTGATGTCCCCAGGAACGTCAGTGTGTGTGTGTGTGCAGTTGCACGCATTCACACACATGCTGTCTGTGTGAACAGGGGCCATGCATGCAAGCATGTCCATGTGACAAAAACGGGTGCAAGTAGTCCCTTTAGAGCCGATCCCTGGCGGTGCTCCTGAGAAGTCAGGTCAGAGAGGGGAGGGAGGAAAGTCGTAAATTCTTGAATGAGCTGCTTTGCCCTGTGGGGGCCAGAGCACCCGTCAGCATGGGCCAGTGTGGGACAGCGAGCTGGGGTGCTATGCACTGGCTCCTGTTCCCGTCGGGCTGAGGGCTGAGGGCTGCGGACTAGGGGTGCTCATTGCCCTGCACCCTGGAGAAGACCCTCAGGGAGAGAAGAGGGAGGCAGGTGCTAGAGGCAGGCAGGTGAGCTCAGTGGGCTGGGGGAATGGCTTGAGATATCAGCTGAGCTGCTGCAGGTGTCCGTGGGTCCACGCGTCCTATGTCCTGTAAGTGCCCATGCGCGTATGTGTTTCCCTGTGGATTTTTCTGGGTTTCCCCTCCTTGGGCCCAGGGGGCAACCTGCCTTCTTGCTGTGTGTTGGATTAAACGCCTGCACGTTTGGACTTCCTGGGGAGTCTGGTGGCCCTGCACACACACACACTACCACCACCTCCCCCCAACACATGGCCTTGTGACTTCACACAAGTGACCTGCTGTGTCCTAGCTTCCACACCCTCTGTGCTGAACAGGGATCATTCTGTAGCCTCCCTGCAGGCCGCCATAGGCCAGAAGGGCTGATGCGGGGAGGGGCTTGGCTAATCCGCGTGCACCTGCGTAGGATGTCTTAAGCTCTTCCCACCACCCTACCTCTGCCCCAGTTGGTGAAAGGGATCAAGGCCGCCCTGGCCCAGACCTTCCCCGAGGGCAGTGGCGTGGAGGTCATCGCGGAGCCTGGCCGCTTCTACGCAGAGCCTGTCTTCACAGCCGCTGTCAACATCATTGCCAAGAAGTCTGTGCTGGAGCCCGGTGGGTGGCCAGCCCTGTATGGGCAGGGACGCCCCAGCGGCCCCATCCTGGGGGTGAAAGGGGCAGAGGGGCTGGGCCCTAGCTAGGAGCTGGGGTCGGATCAGTGACCGAGCTCCCCTCACTCCTGTCCTCTGCCTGCTCCAGGAGGCCGCAGGAAGTTCGTGTATTATCTCAACGACGGCCACTATGGCTCCTTCCGCGTCTTCCTCCGAGAGCCTGCTCCCAGAATTCCCATCGTGGTGAAGGTAAGAGGGCCCCATGTGTGGCCCTCCAGTCCCAAGAGGCCAGCCCAGTACCCAGATGCCCCAGGCCTCCACCGTTGGGAAGGGCACGTGGAAGCCCGCACAGGCCCTCCCTGCAGGTTTGTGCACTCTGGGATGCGCCCACCTGCACACGCAGCTCAGGGCCCCTGCAGCAGCCAGGCGTGTGCACTGGGGTGGCCTGTTTTCCAATCATGGAAATTCTTCTCCCTGTTTGCTAATAGCCACTCCCTGGCCTCCCAGCCACCCCTGCTACCATGTCCCTCCCCTATCCACTGTCCTACCTGACCTGTGGGGTGCAGCTCACAGACGGCTGTGACTGTCGGTGGTCAGGCCACACAGCTTTGGGCATGCTGTCACTCTCTGTGTCTGTGCTTTCTCCTGCTATAACGAGACACCCGAGGCTGGCTGCTTTATGAAGAAGCGTGTGTATCTCACAGTTTGGGAGGCTAAAGCTCCTACTGGTTCAGCCTCTAGTGAGGCTCCCCTGGTGGATGGACACGTGGCAAGGGTACAAGAGGAGGAGACTGGGAGGGGGCCAGGCTTGCTCCCTTGTAACAGCCTCCCTCTCCCAAAAAGTGACCAGGGTCCCACGAGAATCGTACCAATGCCTCCAAAGGCATGCCCGTAAGGATCCAGCTGCTTCTCACCCGGTCACGTCCCCCCACCCCCAAGTTTCCCCACCACCTCCTGCCACTGCCCACTGAGGACCAGGTCCTTTGGGCACACACTCAAAGCACATGCAGGTACAGTAGTCTCTTTCCTGGCCACTGCAGGACTGAGCATGTGCCAAATTGCTTATGTGTGTATGTACGTGTGTGTCTGCATGTGCTTATGTGTGCACATGTGTTTGTATGTCTGTGTGTATGTCTGTGTGCATGTCTGTGTGTGTGAGTGCATATGTCTTTGTGTGTCTGTTTGCCTCTCATCCCAACATGATAAAAACAGAAGTTTCCTGGGTTTCTTTTAGCTCCCACAACAGTTTTAAATTTTAGTGGCCAATATTAAAAAAAAGATCTAGACAAACCTCACAAATGCCTGAATTTTCTCAACTCCTCTCAAAAGTCCGAGAGATCCGATGAGCTAGGACCTGCAGTCCAGGGTGGCCAGCAGTAAGTCAATAAACCCGAGTCACACATCCAGCACGTGAGGACTCTACTACGATGTGCTGGAATTGTAGAGTTGCCCCAGCCCCTCTGGGCAGACCGTGGTTATTGGACCCACTTCACACCTTTTTCTTACCTGCTTGACCCTGCCCACAGCCCCATGTTACAGATGCGGAGCCTGAGGCCCCTGTGTAGGCAGGCCAGATGCAGCCAGGCCGCGCCGGGGCAGTGAGCGTGTAGCCCTGGTATTTCCTTCCAGGGAAGAGTGAGGCGAGGCCAGCCCTCTGTCTGGCTGACCCCCACCCCTCGCACCTGCAGGAGTTCCGCTCAGAGCCACCCCTCTTCCCCTGCACCCTCTACGGCCCCACCTGCGACGCCTTCGACAGGCTCTTTGTGGCAGAGTTGCAGCTGCCCGAGTTGGACGTGGGCGACTGGCTCGTCTTCCCCTCTATGGGCGCCTACACATCTTCGATGAGCTCCACCTTCAATGGCTTCCCTCCTGCTACCCTCTGCTACGCCACGAGCCCCCAGCTCAGGTATGTGGGATGAGGGGTGGAAGAGGAAGCCGAGGGTCACTCGGTAGTTGGAGCTTCTGCTGGGGACCTGGTCCTAGGGAGCCTCTCCCGCCTCCCTCCCTCTGTTGACAACAAAACCAATGTGCCCACTGGCCTTTGGCTCTGGTCTGCTTCAGGGCCTTGTCCCGGGGAGGGGGCCAGCTGCAAAGCTTGGCCTCTGTTGGAGCAGAAGCGGGCAGCAGGAGGCTCCCTGGGCCACACCTGCTTCAGACACCCTACTGCCCCCAGCTCTGCTGTGCACGGCTTCGGGCCAGGGACCAAGGGCTTCCATTTGCCTCACCCTGCACCACCACCTTTTCCCCAGGAGCCTTCTGGAGACAAAAGCAGCGGCACCTTAAGCCCCCCCAGGCTGGAGGCTTTCGGACACCATGGCAGGTAGGTCCCTGGGGCGGTTTTGAGCCTGGTGGGCAGAGAGGAAGAAGAGGATCGGGCAACTCCCAGATCCTATGCAGGTCCAAAAACATCTGTGCTCACATTTGGGTCAGTTCAACACTGAATTTTCCCAGCAGGTGCCCGGCCTGCCACCCTCTTCTCGCCCTTATCTCAGCCCTCCTTTCTCACCCTGTGGGCTGTGGCTGAGGGGGACACATTGGAGGAGACTTCCACTCAGTGACAACAAAACATGGACTGGTTTTTTATATTTAATCATGCAGCCTACAGGATTGTGCAATTTCTACGCAGGACTCTGAGGCATTTGGCACTGCGCTGCATCCTAAACTCATACTTCTGCCTCTTGTTCCTTCCTTTTACTTACTCAGACCCTGCCTTGTTCGGGAAAAGGTTTCTATGACCCATATCATCCTGGTTAAGAGCACATCGTTGGAATGAGTTAGAACTGGGCTCAAATTTAGGTGCTCTCTGTCTGTGAACTTGAACAGGTTAACCAGCTCACAAAGGCACCCCAAAGTGTTCACTGGAAAATGGAATTAAAAGACAGGTTCATTTGGACACAAAACACTTGAAATCCATTCGTTGCTTTTTTTTCATAATGTGCATTTTCTGTGAACTTTGTCAAGACCCCCTTGTATGCATGACTTTCTAAATTCTTTCGCACCAAAATAAACTTGTCTTTTAATTCCATTTCCCGTGAAGTTATAGAAGCACCCTCATATTGGAACTCTAGCCTTTAGTAAACTGGGATGGTAAACCTTCCCCCAGGGGCTGTTGGGAGGATTAAGAGAGAAGTGACTGGCCGGCACCATGGCTCACTAGGCTAATCCTCCACCTGCGACGCCGGCACACTGGGTTTTAGTCCTGGTTGCTCCTCTTCCAGTCCAGCTCTCTGCTGTGGCCTGGAGAGTGCAGAGGAGGATGGCCCAAGTGCTTGGGCCCTGCACCTGCATGGGAGACCAGGAGGAAGCACCTGGCTCCTGGCTTCAGATCGGCGCAGCGAAACAGCCGTAGCGACCATTTGGGAGGTGAACCAATGGAAAAAGGAAGACCTTTCTCTCTCTCTCTCTCTCTCTCTCACTGTCCACTCTGCCTGTCAAAAAAAAAAAAAAAAAAAAGAGAGAGAGAGAGAGAGAGAGAGAGAGCAATGACTGACACACGTGGGGCCAAGATTTTCTTTGGCCATCCTGTTCTTGCTGGCTTCCCTCTTGGGGTCTGGATGCCTCAGGCAGCCCACCTGCATCGTGGGCCTTAGCATGGCACATGGTTGGGGGTATCACGCAGGCCAAGCCAGGATGTGTGCTGACATGGGGGCACTGGGGAGGCAGATGTGCACCGAGGCCACTGGGAGTCCTCAATGCCATTAGAAAGACAAAGCCAGGCCCCACTGGCTGCAGTGCCGAGAGGAGCAGGAGAGGGCGCCCAGGGCAGCTCAGGTGGGGGCTGACTCCTGGGGGGTCCGAGGAGGGAGACTGTTGGAACGTGAAGCCACAGCAGAAATCTTGGGGTCGATGCGTGCAGAGGGGTGGCTCAGGGCGTGAGGACAGGGAGGTAGGAGCTCAGTGTTTACCGGACTGCTCAGGATTGGAGGTGAGAGGCAGAAGTGGCAGATGCTGGGGACATTCCTGGGGAAAGTGGCAAGCCCCGGGAAACTGCAGGCCAGAGGGCTGGCAAGTGCGGAAGGAGCCCATCGGCGCCCCGAGGCCACATTCCTGCCGGGACAGCCAGAGTTGCAACCACCTGCTGGCAAAGGCAGGCGCCGCACCTCCCCCAGCCCAAGCTGTCAGCTCATCACCCCTCTCTGCTCCTGCTCCTCCACTCAGCCCGGAGTTCCCAGGTGCCCAGAGGTTCCCAGCTTCCCCAGGGCTGCCAAGAAATCACTCTGGACTCTTGGAAGCCAAGGGCAGAGGGGGTCACAGGTGCCAGCCGGAGAAGCTACAGGGGCACAGCAGCCCATGCGTGCGCTCAGGTGCCCAGGCATTAGGGTGTCTCGGGACACCCAGCGCCCCAGGCGCCCTGCTGTGCACTCAGGCGTGAGGAGCCAGGCGCAGGAGGGATACTAGGGCTTTGGGAAGTGGGAGCGGCATCCTGAGCTTCCAGGGAGCTTTCCCTGCCTGGAGGGGGTGGTGGCCAGGTCTGGGTATGCAACTCTCCAGCCTTGGAGCCCCGCCAACCTGTGCCAGGCCACAAATAAGATGATATTTGCTCTTTATTGCCCATGAGGAGAGCTCTCTCTCTCTCTCTCTCTCTCTCTTTTCCTCCCTCTCCTCCTTCTCCCTATCCCTCTCCCTCGCCCTCAAGGATTTTATTTATTTATTTGTGAGGTAGAGGTACAGAGAAAGGGAGAGGCAGAGAGAGAGAGAGAGGTCTTCCATCCACTGGTTCTCTCCCCAGATGGCCGCAACGGCCAGAGCTGAGCCCATCTGAAGCCAGGAGCTTCTTCCAGGTCTCCCACGTGTGTGCAGGGGCCCAAGCACTTGGGCCATCTTCAGTTGCCTTCCCAGGCCATAGCAGAGAGCTGAGTTGGAAGAGGAGCATCCAGGACTTGAACCTGCAGCCATATGGGATTTTGGTGCCACAAGTGGAGGCTTAGCCCACTATGCCATAGCGCCAGCCCCTCTCTCTCCTTTAAAAGTTTTTTTTTTTTTTTAAACTAGGTATCCTCCACAAGGAGACACTGGAACCCTGCGGCCCTGCGCAACGTCCCCATGGCCATCCCTGCATCCCCTGCCCCATGTGCCCTGCCCCCTGCCCCTCAGCCCCATCTCCTACCTGCTTCTTCTGGGCTCCACCAGCCTGTCAGTCCCTGGAGCCCCGCCTTTCAGGCCCATGCCCCCCACCGGCCTTTCCCAAAAGTCTGTTGAAGAAAACCACTGTTACGTTTCCAGGCAAGCAGCTGGAGTTTTCAGAGCGTTCTCTGTACTTTCCTCCTCGGGCTGGTGGGAGGAGCCCAGGAGAGCAAGTGTAGAAATAAACTCCTGCTTTAATAAAAGTCAGAGCCCTGCATCACAGCCGCCTGCCAGCCCGCACGTGTCACTATGCACCGACTGCGGGCCCTGGGCTGGGCCCTGTCGGAGGAAATGGGCTCAGGTGAGGCCGCGAGGGCAAACAGAGCAGGAGGAGTCCCTCAGAGCCGACCCTGGGGCAAAGACTTGGGCGCGTTCCGTTACTTTTGGAGCAGCAGGGAGTGTGTGTGTTGGGGGAGGGAGGTGAAGGGGGGAAGGCGAGGAGGCCAAGAAGGAGCAAACACCAGGGCTCATCCCAGTGGGTGACCAGAGCTTAAGCCCACGGGAAGCTTGGGATTTCAAATTCCTGCTAGAGGCAGCCCACCAGAGGGGCGAGGGAGCTGCAGCGTTTCACGCCAACCCTCAGGAGTCACCGGGTGAGGGCTCCTGGGGAAGGGGTTTGGGGCTCCTGGCACTTCTGGCCTGCCTTGAGCGCAGAGAATGCCTTGCCCAGGAGAAGGTCCTGGCCATTGGAAGTGGGCAGGTGCATTCCGAGGGAGTAGAGGCTTGAGAGCATCCTTGCCGGCAGATGCCGGGCGTCGTGGGCGCCCCCTACTGTTTGCAGGAGTCAGCGCTGCTCTGAGCCCCCAGTCCTTGCTCCTGCACCGTAAGGCCTCCATCCAGCCACTGCCGCTGTGAGGGCAGAGCGCCCAGCCATCCAGCGCCTCTGCTGCCCCTGCAGGAGCTGCTCGTCCCAAGGCGGGAGCCCCTTCCCTGCCGCCGCAAGCTCCTACCGTCCCCAACCTGCCTCTCCAGTAGGAGTGCCTCCCACCCTCAGGATGTCGCTGAAACCCAACTAGAAAGGGAATCTGGGAAACGCAGCGTGCAGGCTTCCCCTCACAGCGGAGGAGAGCACGGGAAGGAGTAGAAGGGCAAGGGTGGGGCTGCCGACAGCCAGGACCCAGTCCAGAGACAGAGGAGTGTGAAATCGCCAGGACTTGCGCTTCCACACCATGAAAGCCTCCCAACACAACACCTAGGTTTGCTGGCTGACGTATTAACCCCCACCCCCACCCCCAGGGATGTGTAGCTGAGCACATAAGAAAGAGGGACCCACGGGTGGAGCTGACTTTGGGGTTGTCCTGGGGGTAAAGACGTAGTTGGCTTTTTACTTTTTATTTGTTTCAAAGGCAGACACACACAGATCTCCCATCCATTGCTTCATTGCACCCCTACCCTCCACCCCCAAATACCACATAGCCAGGCCTGGGCCAGACCTAACCGGAGCCTGGGATTCATGGGTGGCAGCGACCCAGGTACCTGAGTCATCACTGCTGCCTCCCGGGATGTAACGGGAAGTGCAGCTGTGACTTGAACCCAGGCACTCTGACATGGGACGCAGGTGTCCCCAACAGTGTCCTGACTGCCGTGCCAAACTCCTGCCCCCAAGGTTGGCTTTTTTTAAAAAAAAAGATTTATTTATTTGAAAGCCAGAGAGATAAATAGATAAATAGATAGATAGATAGATAGATAGATAATCTTCCATCTACTGATTCACTCCCTAAACGGCCTCAACAACCACCAGGGCTGGACCATGTGGAAGCCAGGAGTCAGGAGCTTCATCTGGGTCTCCCACATGGGTGCAGGGGCCCAAGTATCTGAGCCACCTTTTGCTGCTTTTCCCAGGCACGTCAGCAGGGAGATGGATCGGAAATGGAGCTCAGAACTCGAACCACTGCCCAAATGGGATGCTGGCATCATAGATAGTGGCTTTACCTACTGTGCCACCATGCCCGTCCCCTAGGTTGGCTTTTAATAGTCATCTGGGGACCAGACATGAGATTCCTGGCTCAAGGGAGACAGGGTCAGTGATCTGACACAACACACACACACACACACACACACACACATACACACACACAGAATTCTAACCCCCGGCAGAGCAACATCTTCAGTAAAAGAATGAGCTAGAAAAAATGTCCATCCCCCGCCCACCAGCATACAGAGTAGCAGGAGAGCTTGCTCACCTTGACTTGTGTCTGGAATGGGGAAAGAAAAAAAAGTCTCAGAATGAACAGCCACACACCAAGCCTCCTAAGAGTTTAGGATCGGAACCGCGTGTTCTTTGGGTTCTGAGAAAGCTCCAAGCTGGGGAGGAAGCTTACAAAGCCATCTGTGACTGGTCCTACCTGGGGACGCCTGGCAGGAGCAGAGAAAGTCTGCTGCACAGAGTCACAGCCTCAGCCCAGGGAAAGAAGGTGCCTTGAGCAAGTGACAGCAGGTCCCGAGACAGCGCGATTGACCGCCCCCCGCCCCGACCTGTGCATAATAGAACTGGGAGACACGAATCATTCCAAGTGTGCTGAAGGGACAGCTGGATCAGTGTGCCCTGGGAGGCTGTTGTCTCAGGAGGGGTGAGGGTAGCCTGGCTCAGGGCGGTGGCAGGTGAGCAAGCAGAGGAAGAGAGACTTGTGCATTTAATGGCCGGAGATCTTCAGCTTCGAGTTCCCCAGGTTAGCTACCTAGGGCCGCTGTACAAAAGTGCCACAGGGGTGGACGTTTCAGTGCAGTGTGTTAAACCACCGATTGGGACACCACATCCCATATCCAAGAGCCTGGTTACAGGCCCTATCAGCTTCCTGCTAATGCACACTCCGGGAGGCAGCAGGTGACGGCTCAAGTACTTGTCCCCCACCATTCATGGGGGAGGTCCAGATTGAGTCCCTGGTGCCTGGCTTCAGCCTGGCCCAGCCCTGGCTGTTGTAGGCATTGAGGGGAAGAGTGATGGGAGAGCTCTCTATCCCACCCCTATCTCCATTGCTCTGCCTTTCAAATAAGTAAAAATAAACTTTTTTAAAAGTACCATTAACTAGTGACTTAAAACAGCATCAACATATTCTCTCGTAGCTTCGGAGGCCACAAGTCTGAAACCAAGCCGTGCTCCCGTCTCTGCCTCATGAACTTCTCAGCATCTGCGTCCTCCGCTTATGAAGACAGCTGGCACTGGGTTTACAGCGCACCCTAAATCCAGGATGGCTCCATCTTGAGCTCCTATACGTCTGCAAACTCCTTATTTCCACATAACGTCACATGCTGGGTCTCCAGGGGCCATGGACTGGGGGGCATTGTCAGCCCTGATGCGGGCCACCTGCCCCACGTTTTCCTTTGGCAGGTGTACGGCAGCCCTCGGTGCTGTCCACTGCCTCGGTTCCCTCCCAGGCCACCGGCCTGGCCTGTCAGACATCTTCTCTCCATTACGCCATGTGACCTTGCCTCCTCCGGTCTGACCGGCTGGGCTCTCTCTCGGGTTCCGTCTGGAGAGCTCCCACCCTTTCTGACGGATGCTCCTGCCCCCATTAAACCTTGCCACCCTGCTTCCCACTCCTCTCGGTCTCATGCTTGAATTCTTTCTTGCACAGAGACAAGAATCTCTATCCCACCCATCTCCACTAACAAGGTGACAGCCCTGATGGCCTCCCTCGCTTCCTCTAATCTGCTGCCCACGCTGCCCACACAGCCCCTTTGTACCTGCTTTACTGAGCCTGATGCTGCCCTGTGGCAGTCCATTCCATGGAGGATGAAGATCAAGCACCTTAGCCTGCCCGTGAGAACCTTCCAGAATTCACCTTCCTACAGTTCCAAACCCTCTGTGCGCCTCCTGCACGCTAGTGCCAGAGGACTTTTTGCAGCTCACCACCATGCCTTTGCATAGCCTGCTCCTCCGCCTGGAATATTCTCCTCCCCTGTCCAAATCCCACCTACCTGCTTGGACAGCTGGCTCCAGCTCTGAGAACCTACCATGTGTGTGCCCCATGCTAAGATCACACCTCATCGGGCGCCAGCACAGGGCACATCCTGTGGTCCACCGGGGAGCAAAGCCAGGACGAAGGGAAGAAAGAGAGTGGCAGCCACTTCAGCTCCCCGGCGCCTTCCACTGCCTGGCTCTGTTTTCCCCGCGGCTGAATTCCTTTTCACCGGGACACTGCCCTGTCCTGCCAGGAAATTCCCTCTTCCTTGCATCAGTGTGGGGCGGTTCCCTGCAGCCAGGAGAGCGTGACTCAGGCTATGACTACACATGGAGCTGGTGTGTGACGCTGCGGCTGTGTGCGGAGCGGTGGGGGTGAGTCACCTGCTCGGGAGCCTGCGCTCCCAGGAAACCATGGAGAGATTGAGAAAAGCTGGAAAGTCTGGAAGAAAATGCAAACTTGATTGGACTCACTACATTTTGATCTGGTTTAAACTGGTTTGAGCTGGTTTGACCCCATTCACCATGGACCCTGGAGGGAGAGGAAGGTCTTGGCAGAGTTGGCCCAGTGTTCCCCATTTAAGCTGAATGAGGCTGGCTTGAGTTGGCTGCTGGTCCATCATGGGGAGAAAAATGTTTCGAGGAAGAAGCAGCCTTGGGCAGATGCACAGGCGGTGGTGGGGTGTGGCCTGTGCGGCTGGTGATGCCTGCATCCTTACCACTGCCAACGCAATTTCACCGTCACCATTAAAATAAACACCATACACACTCTTGGACCCTCAACCCTACTCCTGGAATCTGTATAGCAGAATTTTTTTTTTTGACAGGCAGAGTGGACAGTGAGAGAGAGAGACAGAGAGAAAGGTCTTCCTTTTGCCGTTGGTTCACCCTCCAATGGCCGCTGTGGCCGGCGTGCTGCGGTCGGCGCACCGCGCTGATCCGAAGAAGGCAGGAGCCAGGTGCTTATCCTGGTCTCCCATGGGGTGCAGGGCCCAAGCACCTGGGCCATCCTCCACTGCACTCCTGGGCCACAGCAGAGAGCTGGCCTGGAAGAGGGGCAACCGGGACAGAATCCGGTGCCCTGACCAGGACTAGAACCTGGTGTGCTGGCGCCGAAAGGCGGAGGATTAGCCTATTGAGCCACGGCACCAGCCTGTAGAGCAGAAATTAAAACAAATACAGAAGGATTAAGTACAAAACATTTTTGGTTGGCAGCCTTGTCCATGCTAGCAAAACTGGAAACAAAATGAATGCCTATCCGGAGAGGAATAATTAATAGTTAAAAGATGGTAGCACTCCTTAC